GTTGGCAGCCCTGTATTTAAAAATGTGGGTTTAATGGAAAGTATGTTAATACCTGTTTAAGATAGTTTTAATCTGACAAAATGTGTCTCTGTGAGTTTTCTAATTCACTGAATATGACTTTATAGTATTTAAAAGGAACCTCTGTGGACTTTAAAGTTCTTTTTTTCCTTCCTAGTGCACTCGATATGTACTTATTTTGTGTGTGTGTGTGTGTGTTATTCTTTAGCAATTCAGGTAAAACAAAAAAAAGAAACATCCGAAGGCCAAACAGCCCCATCTAGTGGTTAAAAACAAAAAGTACAAGAAAGGGGTTTTTAATATACTTTCCTTTTTGACCAAAGTGCTTTACACAGGAAGTGACAGTAATTCTAACATAAGAGAAAAAACAGAGGATAACATTGAAATAGAAACATAAAAAGCTCAACGGATGAATCACTTTGTATTAAAAGTCAGTTTGTGCAAAGATTTAAGTTGTAAGAAGTAATTTAAAAGCATCAAAGAGTTCAAGCCATGTAATATGAAGCAGGAGCAGATTCCAGGCTGGAACTGAAAAGGCCCGACCATATCGAGACGAACCAACCTGGACATTGGGGCAGCTAAGCAGAGATGAGTGATCATTAAGTCTGTAGATCAATGGCAGCTAGATCACACATGAGGCTGCTGGAGATCAGACATCGATTCTTAAACGATCAGGAATGGAGGAGCTTAGTTATGATTATGGGTTTTTTTGCAGCGTTTGAAACCACCTGCATTCAAGAGAGGCTAGCATGGCTAACACCATAAAATACAGCTAAGCTAAAAGACACAAACTTTGGATAACAAGTTTTAAAAAATGATCTTTTCAGTACAGAGCTGATCTGTTAAGGTTGAGACTGGAATCACAATTTGCTCAAAGTTTTTTGATGTGGCATTTAAAAAGTTTTTTTTTTAAAGAAATTGATTGATTGACTTTATTTATCTCAGAGTGCAGAAATGTACTCGTTACATCAGCTCAATTAGTCAAAAAGAGAAAAAGAAGAAGGTGCCAGAGAAGAAAAAGGTGCATGGGATATAGACAGTGTGTCCACATATGAAAGCTTTTTTTAGTAGGATCATTATCCAGGGTTATTGCACAGGGTGTTTACATGAGTATTTATTTATATATATTGCACTGGGTGTCAAGTATAAAGAAACAGGTTATTGCACAAGCTATTAAATGGTAATTGCACATTAAACATTGCACAAGTTATTACCGTTGTAGAGTTGCATCGTGGAGTCTGGTTTCAGCAGGGATGAATGACCTGCGGTAGCGCTCCTTATTCCAAACGGGGTGTACAAGTCTTTCAGTAAAGGAGCTGTTCAGCTTCTATACAGACTGGTGCAGAGGGTGGAAGGTGTTGTCCATTATAGATGGAAGCTTGGACAGCTTTCTCCTCAGTCACTTCCTCCACTGAGTCCAAAACCCAGCCTTAAGGGCTGGTTATCCTCCCGCAGCAGTGTGTCACAGTCAGCTTGTTGCAGGTATTTCTGATTTATGCCAATTTTAAAGCGTGGTCTGCGCTGTTATTCACAAACTAGCTGTGGGTATAGATACGGTCGAGGCGGTGAGAAAGTGGGGACAAGTTCGTATGAGAACTAGAGGCTGACACGGGAGTGGATTTTCACTCCTGTCCCGTCCCGCTCCTGGTGAAATTACTCCCACTCCCATTCAGAATGACTCCCGCTCCTGCACCACTCCCATTCTTGTTGTCTTCAATAAGATTTCTGCCAATACATTGAATCTGGATTTCTATGAAGGGTCAGTTAAGTTCCTGTTTCTAACTGTAGTAACTGTTGGTCCCTCTATTGTTGTTTTTGAGCGCGGGTGAAAAACTCAGAGCGGAAGCACTGTTGGTTTTTGGGTCGTGTAGTTTTTTTGACTCGCATTATAGTGTAGGCTTCAAGGAAAAAAACTACAAAATGGCGGCGCAAGTACTGGATTAATTATATCTTTCTATTTTATTTTATTTGTTGGCATCGATCCTAATTTTTTTTTAGTTACTATTGGTTTGCTCCCGCTCCCGTCTGCTCCCGTTAATGTTTAATCCTGTACCGTCCCAATCATGTGATCGTTACTAATACAGATTCCCATCCCACGGGAATCCCACGGGTCACGGGATTCCCGTGGGATTCCCGTGGGATGGGAGTCAGTAATTCCCGAAAAAATGTCAGTCTCTAGTGAGAACGGAGGCACATGAGGGCGAAAAAGAGCGGGGATCCAGGTGGAAAAAGGGTCCCAGTGTTCTCCCGCATCTCGCTCTTATAGCTGGTCCAACTTTACGAGTTCTTTTCGTCAATGGCGGTCAAGCAAACAAAACAAGCCAGTAAGGTACCAAACAGGAAATATGCATAGAGTAGAGTGGATGTAGATTTGACTAATCAGAGGCCTCCTGTCTGCGGTCATCTACAATTTTGGAGAGGAGCAGCAGAGCGTCTGTGAAAGGGGCGGGGCCACATCTGCGTTAACTGCGACACTCGCAGACGACCTGGTTTCTGAGCATAAAACAGCTTTAAGACAGAAGTGGCCTTTCTCAGCAGTTTGTTCAGTGTCTTTCTGTCCTGCCTTGCACAAAATTAAGAGTTGGACAGAAGGACAAACGGATTAATCATTTTTTGTCACTCTAAACATTATATCTGTCTTATAATCGGTTAAATAGAATTAAAAGTAAAGAATGGAAATGAAAAATCAAAAAATGATTGGGTGGATAATCTTTCCCGCTGCATGTTGTTGCTTTGCAGGTGGTTTCTGAGTACAACGAGCTTGTGGACGGCTCCTTGATCGACCTCTGTGGGGCCACCCTCCTGTGGCGTACGGCAGAGGGCCTCGCTCGCACCCCCACCGTCAAACACCTGGAGGCGCTGCGGCAGGATTTCAACGCTGGGCGGCCGCAGTGCCCGGTGGGCTTCAACACCCTGGCCTTCCCCAGCCTGCGCCGCAAGGACGTCTTGGACGAGAAGCAGCCGTGGGCGTACCTGCGCTGTGGCCATGTCCACGGCTACCACTGCTGGGGAGGGCGGCGGGACCCCGAGGTGGAAGCGGAGTGCCAGGAGAGGGAGTGTCCCATGTGTCGAGCTCCGGGACCCTACGTGCCGCTGTGGCTGGGCTGTGAGCCGGCCTTCTACGTGGACGCCGAGCCTCCCACCCACGCCTTCGTCCCCTGTGGGCACGTCTGCTCGGAGAAGACGACGGCGTACTGGAGTCAGATCTCGCTGCCGCACGGCACCCACGCCTTCCACGCCGCCTGCCCGTTCTGCATCCATCCTCTCAGCGGAGAGACCGGCTTTGTCAGACTCATCTTCCAGAGCCCACTGGACTAGACGCCCCTTTGACCTCTGTTTGAAGACGGAAGGGAACAGTTTTTAAAACTGAAACTGACTTCATTAAACACAAAGTGCATTTATTGGGTAAATTCCAGTTACTGTTTTAAATATTAAATGTGTGTCTGCCAGCAATCTCCTCTAGAGGTGGTTTTATCTCATGGAGCAGCTTCAGAAAAACTCTGGGAAGGTGGTGAAAAGCTTAAGTTGCCTTATTCTATTTATTCTTTAGTGGGTTTTTCTAAAGCAGAGCAGAGATGAACTGCAGTAGCACACAGGTGTGACCTTAGAGCTAACCTCAAGTTTTCCTATTAAAACACTGGATTAAAAAAAACTCTGGGAATCCTTTATTTTTACTTTAAAAACAAGCAAGTCCTTCTTTGTCTTGAGAAATTATATTTTGAACTTAATGCAAGCAAATGTACATGTGGGAAACTTAAAAACCTGGATGCTGTGACCTTTATAGCAGCAATTCTTTTTTTTTTTTAATAAACAAAAATCTTTAATTCAGACACTGTAAAACTACACTTTTACATAATGTGAGCAATAAGGTTTTACCAAACCATTGTTGAAATTATATGCAACATTTATCTCTGCAGCGCCACCATGTGGCTGAATTTACCACTTTTTGAATGTAAGAGATAACTTTAAATATCTGCTTTATCTACTCCTAAGAAAATGTTTTATTTAGCTTTTTAAGGCTTTTCTATATCTAACCTTTTTTTTGTCTGTTTTCTTTTAAAAGTTAGTTTACAGGCTTTTTGGGAAAACATGTTTTTATTCTGAATAATCTGTTACCACTCTAATGACTAATGTTTTGTCATTATAGATGTTTGGTCACCGTTGTTCTTATTGGGTTCTTCTCTTGACTGTTTTTGTACTGTCCAAAATAATAAAGACTCTGATGCTCTTTACTGGCTGCCTCTGTTTTTTGGTTGGAACATTAAAATTCAAAACAAAGATTTTATTTTTCTATTGCAAAAATAACATGAAATTACGGAAGAGGATTAGGGCCACTGGAAAAAAAAAACTGATTTTTAAATTTTATTTCAGTTTAACATGGGAAAAAAGTCAGAATTCTGAGAAAAAAGTCAGAATTCTGACTTTTTCCCCATACTATACTGAAATAAAATAAAAAAAATCAGTTAACTTTTTTTTTTTTTTCCAGTGGCCCTAATCCTCTTCCGTATGAAATAGCCCAAACCTGCTGCTAAATATTGCGATGTTTTAAATGACAAGACTTTAGCCAAAGATTGAATAGTATGGAGACCATTTTAGCATTTTATCAATTAAAGTAGTTCAATTCAGTTTGTCTGTTACCGATCCACAACATGTCATCTCAAAGCACAGAGAAAATTCAACCAGATGATTCAGTCAGATTGGTTTAAAATGTTCTATCTAAGGAAAACCAGCTGATTGCATCAATTCATTAGCAATCCCTCACTCCAAGCATGCATGCAGAGACAGTGGAGAGGAAAACTCCCTTTTAACAGGAAGAAACCTCCAGCAGAATTGGGCTCAGTGTTAGCGGCCATCTGCCGAGGCCGACTGGGGTTTAAGGAGACAGAACCTCAAATCTATAAGTACTTTCTATGTTAGAAAGGTTAACTGTAAACGAGCTCCACTGGTGGCTCAAGATCTGAGCCGGTTTTCATTTTAAATTGATGAAAGAGACCACATACAGTTATTCACAGTAAAAGTTGAGCGTCTAAGAGAGAAACAATTCAGACCTTCTAGGAGGTTGTAGATGAGAGAGAAAATAGCGTTTGAGATTGAACTAACTAATTCTGCCGAATTGAGATGGAGATGGATTGAAGCAGATTGATGAAAAAGAGGTCCCTATGTCATCCAGCAGTCTAAGCCTATAGCAGCAGAACTATAGAGAAAGCTCAGGATAACCTCTATTTGGCTGGTTGGGCTCTCTTTCATCCTCTGACATGGGAGCTGGCTCGGAGCTCATCTGCCTGGCTGTGTGTTTCCTGGACGGGGCCGCCTGTGGCCCTGGTTGTTAGTTGCCTTTTGTATCTATGCTTTTTTTTCTATGTCTGCTTCTGTCTCCTTGAACCCCAGTCGGCCTCTGCAGATGGCCGCTCACAGTGAGCCAAATTCTGCTAGAGGTTTCTTCCTGTTAAAGGCTTGCCACTGTTGCCACAAGCATGCTCAGTGTGAGGGATTGCTGAAGAGTCAATGAGTCGATGCAATCAACTGGTTTTCCTTGCATAGAAAACTTTGAATCAATTTGACTGGATGATCTGGTTGAATTGTCTCTATATAGTGCCTTGAGTTGAAGTGTGTTGTGAATTGGTGCAATAAAAATAAACTGAATTGAATTTCAAGAAAAATGTACTTATATTTAAAATGAGTAGCACAGGGGGCCAGGACAAGTTTCCCATAGGGGCCCTGGCCCCTGTTGGCCTCCTTCTAGAACTGCCCATGGGGAACAGTTTTGGTCAGGAAAACCTTAAAAATCTCCACATGAAATGCTTGAAAACTGTTTTTGATGATCCATTCGGTTGTTTCTCCTTCGGGTTTGTCGAAGTTAACACGACAAGACATATAAAAAAGTGCATCAGGACGTCAAAAAGAACGTATGCAAGGACAGTTGTGGCCAGCAGGTGGCAGCAACAACATGGCAGAGAGAAGATGAAGAAAAAAAACATTTGCGCTGGCTGCCGCAGTGCATGATGGTCGTTGTGCCGGTGCTATCCTGCTCTGTATGAATGTGTGTTATTCTGCTCACAGTCCCATCAGTGCTCATGTGATGTTGAAGAGGAGATATATCGACCAGAGCGCTTTACAAGTCAGGTAAAGACATGTCGAAAGTTCCGCTTTCATAACAATTTGTTTCTTTTTTCTATATTTCCATGGTTGCTCTTTTAGCCTGTTAGCATTAGCCAGTCTACGTGTAACCGCAGCTGACAGCATAAACTTTAGCCACGGCTATTAGCAAAGACAGCATTTAAACTGCACCGTTTCTCATATGGTGTCAAACAGATACATGGTTTTGTCTGCTATGCATTTTTATGTTGTTCTAGCTTCGTTGTCAGCCGCGCTAACCTTAATATGACAAGTAAAGGTGAACAGCGTAGCGAGCTAAAGCTAGCTGGCTAGCTCCCGTCACTAATGGAGCCTAAACAATGATCTGACAGTTCAACCAGGCTATACAACATCTCATAAAAAAGTTAGTTTTAACCAGGAAACATGTCAGTATTGTCGCTCAACGATTAGTTTCTGTATGTTCTGCATTTAAATCCAGCTGTTTTATAATTAACTATTTATATATTTTTGTGGACCAAGCTGAATCCTGTCACAGTTTACCTTCTGGTGACCTGAAATGCTAATACTGAGGCAGGGAAATAGTAGCTTTGGTTTGGATATTAATCTAAAAATAATCTGTTGTGTTTCTGATACAGAGCTGTTATTATTTGGGGCTTGTTTACAACATGAGAATGTTGCTGCTTTTTATGAGAATGAGAGTTTTATTTCGGTTCAAAGGTAAAAACTGATTTCTCAGTGGATTTGAGTAACAGAATGGGTTCAGATTAGAGCTGATTATACACACCTACTCCTTCTGCATTAAGGTAAACCAAAAGGCAGAGACATGCCAAACTAATCAATGGATTGCCCTCCAGAACACAATAGCAGCAACAACACCTGAAAGTAACAATATCAGCACAACTATTCCAAGTACTTACTTAATATAGTCATAGTTTACTCTAGTTTGAGTCTTTGGTTTATCAAATAATAAAATTCCTACATTCCTTTATTTTGAACATGTTCATGATTTGATATAAGTTTGTATTTTGCTTTATACATGATTTGTTTTGGTATATAATATATCAAGTCCCTGAATTTTAGTATGGTTAACAAAGAAAATAATTGATTAGTTGGCTCACTGTAAAGTTTAGGGCAGAAACAACTAATCAGATTAATCCCTTATTCAAAAAATTGTCAACCAATTTAGTAATCGATTGTTAGCTGGAGTATAAAGATGCTAAAATATGTCTTTAGCTGACAGAGTGACCCACTTAGAGCAGTAATTATGCCAAAATTGTAAAAAAAATATATATATATATTTATTTATTTTTAATATATATTTATATACACACACATTTTGCATTTAAGATTAAAAAAAAAAAAACACGAAGAAAATCTCTATCAATCTGTTCTGTCCAGAACTCCTCAAATTGAAACGTTTTAGTTTGGTTTAATTTCATGAAAAATATATTTTGCTATTCCATTATTAATATTTATTAAAAAAGCAACAGATTAATCGATTTGTAAAAAAAAACAAACATTAATTGCAGCCCTAGTAAAGCTTCTGACTGATAAATCTAATAGCTTTTTGTTTGTAGTAAAAAATAGAATTTGGATTAATTATATATTTCCCCACATCTCTATATAATACGTCATATATGGACCAATTATTACAAATTTTGTTTTTATTTTATCTCAATAGATAATTCTGTATGCAAAAAGTCAAATTAGATTCGAAGTAATAGGTGAAATAGTATGAACATTTTAAATGAAAAGTATCTAATCCTCCTTTTAAACTGTTAGCTCCCTTAAGGTTTACTGATAATTATGCTGTAGAGAAAATATGTCGTGTGTAAGTAAAAGAAGGTGTTGTAAAATTAAGATGCCACTATTTCAGCAATATTTCTAATAAAAAATGATACTAACATGAGCTGAAATAATCTTTACAGAGGTTCTTATTTGTATTTAATAGAGCTGTTTAGGAAAACAGTATAACTTGTCATTTTTGATAAAAAAAAAACACACCTTTCCATTTCCATTAATTACAATTAATTTGAACCAATATTGCGATTGAGATTTAGTTGCGATCTTTTTCCTCGACAATAAGCACAAGCATGCAGATGTTTTACTCCAGGGTTTCAGTTTTTTTCATGACCTTGAAAGCCTGCTCGTGCAGAGTGCAGTGTTGTAAAACTTTACTGTTAAACTTGCACAAACAAAGTTCTTATTTCTACTATAATGCATTAATCGAGGCGCTTGCTGCTACTCTGTCCTCCTGGGTGTGCTTTGGTGGCACAGTGGTTAGCGCACACAACCCATTTACGGAGGCTTTAGTCCTTTAAAAAAAAAAAACCCCACCAACTCTGTCCTCCCATCTGTGCGACGCATACGCATTTTAATCATATTACCGTCACCTTAAGGGCTGGAGGAAGTAATTTAGTGTCTTACTATTGTTAAATGTATTGCGATTTAAAAAAAATGTGTGCCTCTTCAATTTGAAAACTGCATTTTTCACAGGTGCAGTTAGATTGGAAATGATTTTTTTTTTTAAAGCTTTTATTGAAAACCCATTCAAGCGTGTGTTCCTGGGTAATCTGTTGCTCTCAATAATTTGGTGTATTTCTCCTGTTCTGGGACTGAAAATATTTTTTTTTTTAGATAATGTGTTGCATTAAATTCCCCAAATGAAAGCTATAACCCTGCCTGTCTAAGTTTTGATATGTTTCTAAAAATAGAAATGAAACCGTTATATCTGGTACTTCTCATAATTAGCATCTGATGGAAACAAGCAAGTTTAAAGCATCTGACAGTCAGAAGCCCATCCTAATTTCTAATAGTCAGTAGTCTTGATGCTGTGTTTGATGTAATCCTTTCATCGCTGTGATGAGATTAGCTGCAGATGGTCGTCCACCTCCTAAGGCGGATTAAAACTGCTGCTTATTAACCCCCACAAATACACACTTTGTGTAAAAAAAAAATGCCTCTGGACCAAATAAACTGCAGTAGACTAAAGTGGAACCCACTGGCACAACTTGTGAAAAGATAGCAGCAGTATTTAGTTTTTTTAATTCTTACACATTATTAAAATGTTCCTGGGTTGAGTTGTGACTGATGTCGCAGCTTTGATCAATGCAAGCTTCACCCTAAAAGCAAACGGCAACACTCACTTCCTTTGCAGCTACATGAAGAATCTGTCAAGTGGAAGTGAGAATATATTCTAGTAATGTTAAACTAAGGTTCTTTTATAAGATGCCTTTTGCAGACATTAAATCCTGAAGCTCTGAACAGGTCAGTTGCATTCAGATAAACATAAAATAAAATAAAAAACATCTGTAAAAAACAAAATACATCCAATCAAAAACACAATGAAAAACATGGAGAAATTTTTTTTTATTTCAGTTTGATTTTTAAACATTTCTACAGAGAGAGGGGGTAAAATATCAAATACTTTAGGAGCCACAGACCCGGCTTTCCTTTAGTTTTTAACAGAGTATGAATAACATCTAAGAGATTTGGTGCTTAGGATTGAAGTCTACAATGAGTTTAAATAAATACTGGTACAAATATTTTAGAACCTTCCCCTTTAGGTACAAACAAGAGTTTTAGATTTAACACTAAAATGGCGGCCTTATCAAGGAGCATAAAACTGGAGTTATATGTGAAAAATCTTCTACATTTAGTGGGAGGTCTGGCTGATGTGTTGTGGAAAGTTTTGAGGTGTGAAACTGAGGTTCTGTCTAGACCAGGAGTCAGCAACTTATTCTAAATAAATCTACAGTGTCTAGAGCCCTAAAACATCAATAACCATGTTTTTGTGATAAAAAACACCCTCTGTATAAATAGTATTATAGTTACAAACAGAATTTTTCATTTGAGGCGTAATTAATAAACTATTGAATCATTAACTCAGTTTTCGTTTAATCAATAAGTGAAGGTTGTAGACTCTAAAACCTCAGTCTAAAAAAGGACCACATCAAAGGAGAAATATTAGCCAAAACTGTTCAAAATATATGTAAAGTTTGATTAAAGATAAAAAAAAAAAACATTCTTTAACAGTAAATAAGAATTTCTAAAGTAGCATAGTTTTAGATGGTATAAACTGCTATAAAGCGTCTGTTGCTATCTGATTATTATTTGATTGATTGAAAAAAAAACAATCAACAGATAAAATTGATTAGCAAAACTATTGTTTGATGCAGCCCTACATACAGCTGGATGTCATCAGCATACATGTGATAAGAAATATCAGCAAAACCCTGAATTGCACCAGCTAATAGGATGTAAAAATGAAAAGGGACCAGAAGCGACACTTGTGGAACCCCAGAGATAAGAATGTCCTGAGAGTCGGATCAGAGAACCAGACACCATAGATAGACCCATAGATGCCAGTCAGAGCCTTTAGTATGGGAGAATTATCCTGCCATAATGCAAGAGCACATAATTTCAATTTGAGAAAAGAATTTCATCTTCTTGCACTCGAAACTTATAATGCTCACACTCAAAACATGCGCTCTCTCTTAAATATTTTCTCTTCTCTCTCAAATCTTTGTTTCTTCTCTCAGATTTAATGCTTCTTGCACAGATATTTTCTCCTCTCGCTTGCCTCCTTTTCTTCGCGCTCTGCTCGAGTCTCAGATACGCTCGCAAACCTGAGGCTCTGCTTGCAGCTTTTTTTGCTCTCTCTCAGATTGCAGTCGGATCGTCGCCTAGCAACCTTTCCAGCCAATAGAATGACAGCCTCAGAAAGGGTGCGCTTGTTTAACCCTACTGAGTGTGCCTTTGCTACTATAAGAGCGTCAGCTGAAACTGCTATTTACAGTAGTTTTGCTAGTAGTTTGCTAGTCAGGGCAGATGCTAATTCTGCGTCTAGCAGAAATTAAGTGACTTTTCATTGGTGATTCTTAAAACGCCCTTTATTATTTCCTTTTTTTATTTTCCTGATCGTTGTTGTTTTTCAGCTTCTTATTTTAATAGCTTTTAAATTAAAAAGCCATTTTATTGTCTGTACTGTTTATCACAGGCACACTCAGTAGAGTTAGACAAGTGCACCCTTTCTGAGGCTGTCGTTCTATTGGCTGGAAAGGTTGCTAGGCAACGATCCAACTGCAATCCGAGAGAGAGCAAAAAAAATCTGCAAGCAGAGCCTACGGGTTTGTGAGCGTATCTGAGACTCGAGCAGAGCGCGAAGAGAAGGAGGCAGGCGAGAGGAGAA